GAAAGTATAACAATCATTGTGTCATTTCTGGATTTAGTAGGAGATAGATGGTATCTTCAAGCTGAGTTATTGCAAAGGGTTTAATAGATTATTTATAAACCTATGGACAGTACTTTTTAAAAGCAACCAGAAAGGGTCTAGTGCTGTGGAGCTGGTATGTGTGGGAGGAGGGGAGAAAGCACTTGCTGGAAGCTGGAGAGAGGCAGAGCTCTATGAAGAGGGCCTCAGGACAGGGATTCATTGGGTAGAGGGAGCCAGCCAAGAGGCATCTGAGGAATAAATACCCCAACCTGACTCTACGTCATTCTTTTCCTGCACTCTGTTCCCCAGAGTGCCTCTGAGTGACTCCTTACTTGGCCAAAATGCAGCCAAGGGGCAAGAGAGCCCCTGACTAGTCCACCTGAGTCAGTTAGCCCACCTGGTTACAGAGCAGGATGGATGGGGAAGCTGGGAAAGAAAGTTGGCATATCCAGAAGACTTATGTTGACTTAAAATGTATCTTTAGAGCCAGGCACGGTGGCTCACACCTATAATCCCAGCACTTTGCAAGGCCGAGGCAGATGGATCTCTATCCTGGCTAACCTAGTGAAACCCCGTCTCTACTAAAAAATACAAAAATTAGCCAGGCGTGGTGGCATGTGACTGTAATCCCAGCTACTTGGGAGACTGAGGCAGGAGAATCACTTGAACCCAGGAGATGGAGGTTGCAGTGAGTCAAGATCATGCCACCGCACTCCAGCCTAGTCAACAGAATGTGACTCTGTCTCAAAACAAAAGTATATATATACTATGTATATGCAGATATATCTATCAGAATATACATATCAATTATATGAGAATATATATTATATTGTATTATATTATATATATAATCTTGAAGCACTTTAGTTGAAAATGAAAGGTATTACCCTCTAAAATAATGATTAGCAATCACAAATAAAACTATCCTAGTAAGTACCTATTAACAGTGTGCACTTTAACTACATTATGTTATTCTACATTTATAATACCTCTTCAAGACATGCCTTATTTACTGGGTATCTGAAAAATGTAGTAGCTTTTTCAAGGTATATAGTTAGTACCTGACCAAGCTTAGATTCTAACTCCAAAGCCTGTTTTTTTTTAACTATAAAAACACTGAAAATGAGCCAAACTAAAAATGACTAAGCAAATGATTTTATCTAGGAAGACCTAAAAGAGTAAGAAGAAAAAATATAGTTAATATTTTTAGATAACTCATTTTTATAACATGATAATTCAAAGCATAAAAAATATTGATATTGCTCAGTCTTCTCTCATTTTTCTCTTTAAAAGGAACTGCTCCAATGTAATCGTGCACTCAAAAGAAGTTAATAATTTGCCTGTCTTGCTAAATCAGTTTAGACTTACCTAATTTGTTTTGTTGACTTTCACTTCTCCACTGGAGTGGGTAGAAAGAGCTACGTTTACACAGGGCTGTCTTTTAGCATAAACTGAGGTGGGGTTCCTGAAGCTGGGCTCCCCAAAGGAACAGACAGAATAGGCAGGATATAGTGCAACCATGGCATGACTGCCCCAGACTGACTTGATACCTTTCTCAAAGTTCCAATAATAGAAGCAACCTTTAGCTGGCACAATTCCTAGTATAGTATCATTTTAATCCATAAGCCCAACTTAGTTTGTTAGATGGGTTGGTGAACTCTCTCCTCACGTGGAGCAAAACAAGAACAGAAGGAAGGATATAAGTTGGGGGAGAGGATGTAGGAAAGACCTGGATTTCAAAACATTTCAAAGAGGGAACTCTACTCTTGGGACTCTGCATTGTATGAGGCAATCTAGAGGGGAAACAAGGCAAAAATGAAACAGGAGATTCATGACTAAATGTGCATAATTATATCTGACTGCTTATTGTCTTTCTAAACTTTTCATAGGACGATGCCTTATGTTTTCTACTATTCTGTAAATATGTCTTTTATGTTGCACATAGTACAATGTTGATCCACTGTTAGCATATTTGATAACTAACTTAATGAGTGGAATGAAGGATACTTAAGAATCTTTTCAGACTAGGGCAGAGATAGGGAGGTGTTAAGGGAGTCTGAGACAGGAATCAGATTTCATCTCACAGCATCCCTTAGGAATGATTCTCATTCAGACAACTCCAATTTCCTGGTTTTCTTCTTTTGGTTAAAATGTGTATACCTCTTCTCTCAGAGCCTGTTTGCTGGAAAGAGCTCATCTTCCTTGGCTGCTGTCCTTTACCCCAAGGCTGTCCTCTCCTCCTGTGCTCCTTGGCCATGCCAAGAGTCACCAGGCCTCTGCTCCTTTGTTTTTCCAGCTCTAGGGGGAAGCTACCTTTTGTGAGAAGTAATAATAGAAACAAATAAGAAAAGGTAAAATTGTTTAGTTTATTCATTATTTCTTCTTCTGATTACTTACTGGATTAGAAAAAGAAGTAGAATGCATATTTTATTTCTAAGAAAAGGTTTCTGCGCTTAAATATCCTAAGAATTTGAGTCTGTACAGGATTTGGAGTCCAGATTTGTGACTACTATAGAGGAGAAGGTTAAATACATAGTTTTCAACATTGCTTTAGCCATAAAACTCTTGCCATTCTTCCCTTATGCTGTCCCTAAGGAGAATCAATAAAAAACATTTGAAATTTGTTTCAATGTTTGGGAAAAGCAGAACTCCAGGCAGTGCCAGTTAGTGGAATGCTAAGTTAGTTGGCTATCAGGCTGAGGAGATATGGAATCATCAGCTGTTAGAATTAAATCAGTATTACGGTACACATTGGTAGAGGATAATCCATTAATGGTTAGAAACATCAGTCTGGATGAAGTCTATATTCAGATTCCACTGCTGCTCAGCTGTGTGAAATTGGATTAGTTACTTAACTTAGCAACACTTCAGTTTACTTATCTGTGATATGGGGATACTAAATCAACCACTTTAGCAGCTGACCATAACAAGTTACTAACACCATCGAGATCTCAGTTTAAACTTTTGTGAAAAGGGAATGTTTTAATACCATACAGGGATTATGTAGAAATGTGATGCGAATACCCAAAGTGCATAGGTAGTTTTGTGCACTTCGGGCCTTGCACAAAATGGCAGCTTTCCTGTGTCTTCATAAAAATAGTTCTTACTCTCTTTTATTGTTTTATACAAAATTCCTAAAGCAAACAAGGAAGAGAAATACTCTAAAATAAAAAAGTGTGTGTGTGTGTGTGTGTGTGTGTGTGTGTGTGTGTGTGTGTGTGTTTAAAAAAATCTAAAATAGCAAGAAGTCATGATTGCTGGCTTTGGCAAGCAAATTTGGGGTCTGGAGTCTAATAGACATTAGTTGGAATTCCCATCCGAAAGTCACCAACTTCAAAGACCGAAGGTACATAAATCCATGAAGATGGAAAGAAACCAGCACAAAAAGGCCAAAATCACCAAAAACCAGAATGCCTCTCCTCCTCCAAGGGATGACAACTCCTCTCCAGCAAAGGAACAAAACTGGATGAAGAGTGAGTGTGATGAATTGACAGAAGCAGACTTCAGAAGGTGGGTAATGACAAACTTCTCTGAGCTAAAGAAGCATGTTCTAACTCAGTGCAAGAAAGCTAATCACCTTGAAAAAAGGTTAGACAAAATACTAACTAGAATAAACAGCATAGAGAAGAACATAAATAACTTGATGGAACTGAAAAACACAGCACAAGAACTTCATGGAGCATACACAAGTTTCAATAGCCAAAATGGTCAACCAGAATGATCAATGATATCAGAGATTGAAGATCAACTCAATGAAATAAAATAAGAAAGCAAGATTAGAGAAAAGAGAGTGAAAACAAATGAACAAAGCCTCCAAAAAATGTGGAATTATGTAAAAATACCTAATCTACATTTGATCAGTGTACCTGAATGTGACTGGGAGAATGAAATCAAGTTGGAAAACACTCTTCAGGGTATCATCCAGGAGAAATTTCCCAACCTAGCAGAGCAGACCAACATTCAAATTGAGGAAATACAGAGAACACCACAAAGATATTCCTCAAGAAGAGCAACCCCAAAGCATATAATCATCAGATTCACCAGGGCTGAAATGAAGGAAAAAATGCTAAGGACAGCCAGAGAGAAAGGTCGGGTTACCCGCAAATGGAAGCCCACCAGTCTCACAGAAGCTCTCTTGGCAGAAACCCTGCAAGCCAGAAGAGAGTGGGGGCTGATACTCAACATCCTCAAAGAAAAGAACTTTCAACCTAGAATGTCATATCCAGCCAAACTAAGATTCATAAGCGAAGAAGAAATAAAATCCTTTATGGAAAAGCAATTGCTGAGAGATTTTGTTACCACCAGGCCTGACTTACAAGAGCTCCTAAAAGAAGCGCTAAACATGGAAAGGAACAACCAATACCAGCCACTCCAAAAATGTACCAAATGGTAAAGGGTATCGACACAATGAAGAAACTGCATCAACTAATGGGCAAAACAACCATCTAGTAACAAAATGGCAGGATCAAATTCACACATAAAAATATTAACCTTAAATTTAAATGGACTAAATGCCTCAATCAAAAGACACAGACTGACAAACTGGATAAAGAGTCAAGACCTATTGGTGTGCTGTATTTGGGAGACCCATCTCACATGCAAAGACACATATAAATCCAAAATAAAGGGATGGAGGAAGACTTACCAAGCAAATGGAGAGAAAAAAAAATAAAAAAGCAGGGGTTGCAATCCTAGTCTCTGATATAACAGACTTCAAACCAACAAACATCAAAAAAAACAAAGAAGGGCATTACATAATGGTAAAGGGATCAATGCAACAAGAAGAGCCAACTATCCTAAATATATATACGGGAGCACCTAGATACATAAAGCAAGTTCTTAATGACCTACAAAGAGACTTAGACTCTCACATAATAATAGTGGGAGACGTTAACAACCCACTGTCAATATTAGACAGATCAATGAGACAGAAAATTAACAAGGATATCCAAGACTTGAACTCAGAGCTGGACAAAGTGGACCTAATAGACATCTACAGAACTCTCCACCCTAAATCCACAGAATATACATTCTTCTCAGCATGACATTGCAGTTACTCTAAAATTGACCACATAATTGGAAGCAAATCATTCCTCAGCAAATGCAAAAAAAAAAAAAAAACAAATCATAACAATCAATCTCTCAGGCCACAGTGCAATAAAATTAGAACTCAGAATTAAGAAACTCACTCAAAACTGCACAACTACATGGAAACTGAACAACCTGCTCCTGAATGACTACTGGATAAATAATGAAATGAAGGCAGAAATAAAGATGTTCTTTGAAAGCAATGAGAACAAAGACACAATGTACCAGAATCTCTGAGACAAATTTAAAGCAGTGTCTAGAGGGAAATTTATAACACTAAATGCCCACATGATAAACAAGGAAAGATATAAAATTGACACCCTATTGTCACACTTAAAAGAACTAGAGGAGCTGGGTCAAACAAATTTGAAAGCTAGCCGAAGACAAGAAATAACTAAGATCAGAGCAGAACTGAAGGAGATAGAGACACAAAAAACCCTTCAAAAAATCAATGAGTCCAGGAGCTGGTTTTTTTAAAAGATCAACAAAATAGATAGACCACTAGCCAGACTAATAGAAAAGAGAGAAGAATCAAATAGATGCAATAAAAAATGATAAAGGCATCCCCTTTATCATTTGGTATCACCACCGAATCCACAGAAATACAAACTACCATCAAAGATTATACAAACACTTCTATGCACATCAACCAGTAAATCTAGAAGAAATGGATAAATTCTTGGACACTTACACCCTCCTAAGACTAAACCAGGAAGAAGTTGAATCCCTGAATAGACCAATAAAAAGATCTGAAGTTGAGGCAGCAATTAATAGCCTACTAACCAAAAAAAAAGTCCAGGACCAGACAGGTTCACAGCTACATTCTACTAGATGAACAAAAAGGAGCTGGTACCATTCCTTCTGAAACTATTCCAAACAATACACAAAGAGGGAATTCTCCCTAACTCATTTTATGAGACCAACATCATCCTGATACCAAAACCTGGCAGAGACACAACTAAAAAAAGAAAATTTTGAGCCAATATCCATGATGAATATTGTGAAAATTGTCAATACAATACTGGCAAAGTGAATCCAACAGCACATTAAAAAGCTTATGCATCACTATCAAGTCGGCTTCATCCCGGGGACGCAACGCTGGTTCAACATATGCAAGTCTATAAACGTAATCCACCACATAAACAGAACCAAAGACAAAAACCACATGATTATCTCAATGGATGCAAAGAAGGCCTTCACAAAATTCAACACCCCTTTATGCTAAAAACTCTCAAGACACTAGATTTCAAAATAATGAAAGCTATTTATGACAAACCCACAGCCAATATCATACTGAATGGGCAAAAACTGGTAGCATTCCCCTTGAAAACTGGCACTAGACAAGGGTGCCCTCTCTTACCACTCCTATTCAACAAAGTATTGGAAGTTCTAGCCAGATCAATCAGGCAAGAAAAAGAAATAAATGGTATTCAAATAGGAAAAGAGGAAGTCAAATTGTCTCTATTTGCAGATGACATCATTGTATATTTAGAAGATCCCATCATCTCAGCCCAAAATCTCCATAAGATGATAAGCAACTTCAGCAAAGTCTCAGGATACAAAATCAATGTGCAAAAATCGCAAGCATTCATATACACCAATAACAGACAAACAGAGAACCAAATCAGGAGGAACTCCCATTCACAATTGCTACAAAGAGAATAAAATACCTAGGAATACAACAAACAAGAAACATGAAGACATCTTCAAGGAAAACTACGAACCACTGATCAAGGAGTAAAGGGGACACAAACAGATGGAAAAACATTCCATGCTCATGGTTAGGAAGAATCAATATTGTGAAAATGGCCATACTGCCCAAAGTAATTTATTGATTCATTGCTATCCCCATCAAGCTACCAACTACCTTCTTCACACAAATAGAAAAACCACCTTGAACTTCATATGGAACCAAAAAAGAGCCCACATAGCCAAGACAATCCTAAGCAAAAAGAACAACACTGAAGGCATCACAGTACCTGACTTCCAACTATACTACAAGGCTACAGTAATCAAAACAGCATGGCACTGGTACCAAAACAGATATAGACCAATGGAACAGAACAGAGGCCTCGGAAGTAATGCCACACATCTACAACCATCTGATCTTTGACAAACCTCACAAAAACAAGCCATGGGGAAAGGATTCCCTGTTTAATAAAAGGTGTTGAGAAAACTGGCTAGACATGTGCAAAAGCAGAAACTGGACCCCTCCCTTATACCTTAGGCAAAAATTAACTCCAGATGGATTAAAGATTTAAACATAAGACCTAGCACCATAAAAACTCTAGAAGATAACCTAGGAAATACCATTCAGGATATAGGCATAGGTAAAGACTTCATGACTAAAACACTAAAGGCAATGGCAACAAAAGCCAAAATAGACAAATTAAACTTAAGAGCTTCTGCACAGCCAAAGAAACATTCATTAGAGTGAACCAGCCACCAACTGAATGGGAAAAAGATTTTGCGATCTACCCATCTGACAAAGGGCTAATATCCAGAAGCTACAAAGAAGTTAAACAAATTTACAAGAAAAACAAACCCCATGAAAAAGTGGGCAAAGGATATGAACAGACACTTCTTAAAAGAAGACATTTATGCAGCCAACAAACATATGAAAAAATGCTCATCATCACTGGTCCTTAGAGAAATGCAAATCAAAACCATATTGAGATACCATCTCATGCCAGTTAGAATGGCAGTCATTTAAAAATCTGGAGACAACAGATGCTGAAGAGGATGTGGAGAAATAGGAACACTTTTACACTGTTGGTGAGAGTGTAAATTAGTTCAACCATTGTGGAAGACAGTGTGGTGATTCCTCAAGGACCTAGAAATAGAAATTCCATTTGACCCAGCAATCTCATCACTGGGTATATACCCAAAGGATTATAAATCATTCTGTTTTAAAGACACATGCACATGTATGTTCATTGCAGCACTGTTTACAATAGCAAAGACTTGGAACCAACCCAGATGCCCATCAATGATAGAGTGGATAAAGAAAATGTGGCACATATACACCATGGAATACTATGCAGCCATAACAAAGGAAGAGCTCTTGCCCTTTGCAGGGACATGGGTGAAGCTGGAAACCATCGTTCTCAGCAAACTGACACAAAACAGAAAACCAAACACCTGATGTTCTTACTCATAAGTGGGATTTTAAGAATGAGAACACATGGACACAGGGAGGGGAACATCACACACTGGGGCCTCTTGGGGGGTGGTGGGGCTAGAGGAGGGATAGCATGGCTAGAGGGGTGGGGAGATTGGGAAGGGATAGCATTAGGAGAAATACCTAGTGTAGGTGACAGGGAGATGGATGCAGCAAACCACCATGGCATGTGTATATCTATGTAACAGTCCTGAACAATCTGTGCATGTACCCCAGAACTTAAAGTATAATAATATTTTTTAAAAAGAGGCTGATGGGTCTAAAAGAGCCAAATAACACAATATAAGAATTTCACAATGCAATCACAAGTATTAGCAGCAGAACATATCAAGCTTAGGAAAGAATCTCACATCAAAATAAAGAAAAAAGAATAAAAAGGAATGAACAAAATCTCTCAGAAATCTGGGATTATGTAGAGGCTGAATTCACTAATCACTAATATCACTGAAAGGGAGGGGAAGAAAGCAAACAACTTGGAAAACGTATTTCAGGGCATTATCCCTGAAAGCCCCCCCAACCTTGCTAGAGAAGCCAAGAGTCAAATTCAAGAAATAAAGAGAAGCACAACATTCTACACAGGAAGATTATCCCCAAGACACATAATCATCAGATTTCCCAAGGTCAAAATAAAAGAAAGAATGTTACACATGTTGAGAGAAAGGGCAGCTCACCTACAAAGGAGACACGATCAGGCTGACAGCAGACCTCTCAACTGAGACCCTACAAGCCAGAAGAGATTGGAGGCTTAGATTCAACATTCTTAAGGGAAAAAAAAAATCTTCAACTAAGAATTTTATATCCAAACAAACTAAGCTTCCTAAGTGAAGGAGGAATAAGATCCTTTGCAAATAAGCAAATGTTGAAGGATCTTGTTACTACCAGACCTGCCTTACAAGAGATCTTGAAAGGTGCACTAAATATGGAAAGGAAAAAGTCTGCTATCAGCTAATACAAAAACATACTTAAACACACAGACCAGCGTCACTATAAAGCAACCACACAAACAAGCCAACATAATAACCAGTTAATGACACAATGACATGATCTAGTCCACACATATCAATACTAACCTTGAATGTGAATGGGCTAAATGCCCTACTTACAAGGCACAGAGTGGCAAGTTGGATAAAAAAGCAAGACCTAATGATATGCTGTCTTCAAGAGACCCATCTCACACAAAATGACACCCATAGCCTCAAAATAAAGGAATGGCAAAAAACCTACCAAGCAAATGGAAAACAGAAAAAAAGCAGTACTTGCAATCCTAATTTCAGATAAAAGAAACTTCAAACCAACGAAGATCAAAAAAGACAAGGAAGGGCATTGCATAATGGTAAAGGTTTCAATTCAACAAGAAGAGTTTTACTATTCTAAATAGATATACGCCCAACACAGGAGCACTCAGATTCAGGAAGCAAGTTCTTAGAGACCTATAACAAGACACAGACTCTCACACAATAGTAGTGGGAGATTTCAACACTCCTCTGATAATATTAGACAGATCTTTGAGGCAGAAAATTAACAAAGATATTCAGGACCTGAACTAAACATTGAACCAAATGGATCCGATAAAACTCTACAGAACTCTCCACCCCAAAACAACAGAATATACATTCTTCTCTTTACTACATGGCACATACCCTAAAATCTACCACATAGTTGGACATAAAACAATCCTCAGCAAATGCAAATAAAAATCTAAATCATACCAAACACACTCTCAGACCACAGTGCGATGAAAACAGAAGTCAAGACTAAGAAAATCATTCAAAACTGTTTAATTACATGGAAATTAAACAAATGCTCCTGAATTACTTTTTGGTAAATAATAAAATTTAGGCAGAGATCAATAAGTTTTTGAAACTATTGAGAATAAAGATACCATGTTCCAGAATCTCTGGGACATAGCTAAGGCAATGTAAAAGGGAAATTCATTACACTAAATGCCCACATTTTAAAAAGTCAGAAAGATCTCAAGTTAACAACCTAACATCACAACTGAAAAAAAAATTAGAGAAACAAAAACAAATCAACCCCAAAAACTAGCAGAAGACAAGAAATAAACAAAATAAAACCTGAACTGAAGGATATTGAGGCATGAAAAACCACTCAAAAGATTAATGAATCTAAGAGTTTGTTTTTTGAAAAAAGTAATAAAATAGGCCACTAGCTTGGCTAATAAAGCAGAAAAGAGAAAAGATCCAAATAAACATAATTTGAAATGATGAATGGAATGTTACCACTGACCCCACAGGAATAAAAATAACCATCAGAATCTGCTAAGAACACCTCCATACACACAAACTAGAAAACCTAGAAGAGATGGATAAATTCCTGGACACAAACACCCTCCCAAGACTGAACCCAGAAGAAACTGATTTCCTGAACAGAATAACAAAAAGTTGTACAATTGAATCGATAATAAATATCTGAACAACCAAAATCAACCCCAGGACCTGATGGATTCACAGCCAAATTCTACCAGATACACAAAGAAGAACTGTTACCATTCCTACAAAAGCTATTCCAAAAAATTGAGGAGAAGGGACTGCTCCCCAACTCATTCTATGAGGCCAGCATTATCCTGATACCAAAAAACTGTCATAGATACACACAAACACACACAAAAAAACTTCAGGCCAATATCTTTCATTAAATCAAGATGGATTAAATATTTTAACGTAAAACTCAAAACTATAAAAACTGGAAGACAACCTAGGCAATACCATCCTGGACATAGAAATGGGCAAATATTTTATGACAAAGACACCAAAAGCAATTGCAAATCCAAACTACCGTTAGATGCTATCTCACACTAGTCAGAATGGCTGCTATTAGAAAGTAAAAAAAAAAATAACAAATGCTGGTGAGCTTGTGGAGAAAAGGAAATGCTTATACACTGCTGGTGGGTGTATTCAACCATTGTGGAAGATAGTGTGGCAATTCCTCAAAAACCTAAAGACAGAATTACCATTTTACCCAGCAATCTCATTACTAGATATATACTGAAAGGAATATAAATTGTTCTATTATAAAGACACATGCACACACATGTTCATTGCAGCATTTTTCACAATAGTAAAGGTATGCAATCAACCTAAATGCCCATCATTTAGGTAACTGGATAAAGAAAATGTGGTACGTATACACCATAGGATACTATGCAGCCATGAAAAAGGAATGAGATTATGTCTTTTGCAGGAACATGGATGGAGGTAGGGCTATTTTCCTCAGCAAACTAATACAGGAACAGAAAACCACCTATTGCATTTATCATTTATAAGTGGGAGGTAAATGATGAGTATGAACACAAGGAAAAACAGACACTAGGGTCTTCTCAACGGTGAAGATCGGGAGGAGGGAGAAAAGCAGAAAAGATTAACTATTGAGTACTGGCTTAATTTCCAGGTGATGAAATAATCTGGATAACTAACCTCTGTGAAATAATGTAACAAACCTTCACATGTACTCGTGAACCTAAAATAAAAGTTTAAAAAAATAAGCAGAATTATATAACCGTTTTGAGATAATTATCTTTGGCTACAAAGATTAATAACAAAGATGATGCCAGTCTGAGTCTGGACAGGCCATTAGTTGCTGGGCAGATATCCTCACTGAAGTATTTTTTGTGTAAGGTTGTGATGACTTTTGTGCATTGTTGTGGTTTCTGTAGAGTCTTTTGCGGGAGTTTTTGTTATCTGGCATCTAAGTGTGAGAAGCCTCTAATCATAGTCCTCCCCAGATCTACATGACTCCATTTTGATTCCAACCACTTTCACATTTGTTTTTGATTAAGATTGTTCTCTGAAGTATCACAGATTAATCATCTTGTAGTTAGGTTTTGATTGTCCTTCAGTACACAAATGGACCTGCTGAGTTGCTGGTCTGTCCCACACTGGAGAGAGTGATTGGCAACAGAGAGTCAACGTCAAACTCCGTTTAGAAACATTTTAGCAGCAAGGGAAGTTTGAATGGATAGCTCTCCAGCCACTCCTCAGGTGGCTCTTCTCTTTTAAAGATAGGGTTATTTGGGAATGAAAGACTATTGAAACAAAAGATTGTTGAGAATCTATTATATTCTAAGCATATCGGAACAGAAACTATCTCAGAATCATTTAAGTGTCTGATCTCACCACCAATATCTCAGCACCTAGGCCCACAGTAGAAACTAATAAAAAATCTCATTGAATGAATAAAAGATTTATTGACTGATAAGTAAATGAATGGTCACTCACACTTGTGACATGTATAACTTCTGGGAGATCCTGTGACCTGAGTTTCCCAGGCTCCTATTTGATTTAGTTCTTTTCATTCTCATAGCCCAGACAAACCTTCTTGATGCCATTGTGATCCTTCACACTGGAGAACTAGTCAAGCAGTTAATCATAGCCGGTGATTTCTTCCAGCTGCAGAGGGAAATTTCACTCTCACTGTGACTCAGCTCTTTTCCACTGCTTATTTGATTTGCTGTTTGTTGAATAAATCTGGTTGAGTTTGACAAAAATGTCTCCCAGGAAGTGTTAAAATAAATAGGTCTTGGTAAGGTGTCTCCTAGACATTTAAAACAAAAACAGCAACAAAAAACTTCACAAAAATAATTGTTTGGTTAACGGGCTATCCTTTGATTAAAATTGAAAGCATTTGATTTAAAACTGGCTGGTAGAACTTTAATTTACTAAGTAGTTTGCATTTAGGTATCAGTATTGTCTTTCAAGTATAAGAAGGTGGTCATCTTTTTGCACTATGTTTAAAAGGATTTGTGAGTTAGTGTTGCCTGGTGTGCTCAGACTCTGAATGTATATGATGGGTTACTCTTGCAGTACTTGGGCAGCCCCATCTCTAAATATTTTGTTCCTTTCAATATGAGTATGTTTCCCTGCCTCTTCATGTCTGGCTGCCCACTTGGGATGTTACAGAACTACCCTCAGTTGCCCAGTGAGCCACTGATGATACAGAATGTGCACCTGCCCTTAGAGTGTCTTCCAGAATCCACTTGCTGATGTCCTGTGTTTGTCTGGATACATTTGGTGTTCCTGTACACACACTTTCTTCACTCCTCATTGTAGACTCTGCCTGGAGAGGAGAAATACTATAATATTCCTTTTGACTAAAGACCCCTTTAGTGTTCATTTCATAGGGCTAACATTACAAGGTACACAACATTGTAGCTTAAAACAACAGAAATTTCTTATTTCATAGTTTCTAAAGGCCAGAAGTCCAAAATCAAAGTGTCATCAGGATTGGATACTCCTAGAGTCTCTGAGGCAGAATCTGTTCCATGCCTTTCCCCTAGCTTCCGGTAGTTACCAGCAATCTTTGGCATCCTTTGGCTTGTAGATGTATCACTCCAATCTCTGCCTCTGTGGTCACATGCTGTTCTCCTCTGTGTGTCTTTTTGCATCTTCACCTAGCCTTCCTATAAGGACACTAATCGTTCAATTTAGAGCTCACCCTAATTCAATACGACCTCATCTTAACTACTTACATTACATCTGCAAGAATCCTATTTTCAAATAAGGCCACATTCTGAGGTTCTGGTGTACATGAATTTTGGAGGAACACAATTCAATCCAATATACCCCCTTTCCTCCCAGCTGGGTCTTACAAGAGCACAAGGCATCATTCAACCTTGAGATTTTGCCCACACCCTAAACCTGTATATATATGTGCGAGCTCATTCATCTAAAGAGAAAATAACTAGAAAGCTAGGTTTTTGTCATTTAAATACACATTTAAGAGTGGCAGCTCAGAGAAAATAATGTGCATGTAAATTATTCAAAGCTTACCTGGTGGTATCCTTCCTAATAAGGGTAGTTACCTCGCAGTGGGTAGGCTTATTACAGATCTTCAGTAATGATAATAAAAGCTAACACTTGTCAATCATAAACAGTTTTTCAGGGAATATTTCAAGCATTTCATAAATGGCATCTCATTGAATCTTTGTAACAAGTTTCTGAAAGAAGCACTAAATTGGTATTATCCTTCTTTTAAAGGTGAAGAAATTAAGGCTTGCAGAAATTAGGAAATTTATCAAAAGTAACAGTATTCTTAAATGGACGTCAGAGTCCAGAGATTAAACTTTCAAACACTTCAGTGTGGTCACCTTATAAAAAATACATTATCTTCTCCATTTGGCAGATGAGAAAAAATGTGGTACAAGAAATTAAGTCATTTGTCTGAAGTGTTAGAGCCAGTATATCTGAAATGAAAATCCTGATCTGTTTTCCCTTAAATCTAAATTCTTTTTATAGCACGTGATTGTAGGTTTGTTTCTACAGGGGCCCAGGTGATGACAGCATTGGAAGAAAGTGGGTAGCTGGCTCTTTGAGAATTCAGCAGATTAAAAAAAAAAGGAGGTTGAACCCTTGATAGCAACCTCTATGGTTTCCCCGACAGTTTGTTAAACCCACACTAGCCTGACTGTGCCTGAGTTTGAATTTGGGAGCCCTTTCTTTCCTTTTGACACTGGGATTCTGTGAGCAAGACACTGCCCTGTGTGCCATGGATGGGACACAGAAACTCCCATTTAGGGAGCTTCATGCTGTTAATACTGACTATACTGATACCTAAATGTAAGCTACTTAGTAAATGAAAGCTCTACGAGCCAGAACTTTTAAATACTTAAAATTGTAAGTATTTAAAAGTAATACTTACAATTTTAATCAAGGGATAGCCCGTTTCTTAATTAAATGATGATGGCTTAACTTAGAACTTGGTGTTAGGAGTCAGACCATTTACTAGCTTCCAGCTCATTTCCTTTCCTCTGTTTTTCCTTTTTTCTTCTTCTTATTTATCCCCTTTTTTCAACTACTTTATAAATATTTCCAAAATTCACCAGTAGGCTTCATGTCACCCAGGTAGCGTATCATTTCCCCTTTGAGATTATCTTGAGGTTTATTTTAAATTGTACCTGTCTCTTTCTCTAAAATGAACAATATCATCTGCTTTGTAAGAGTTTTATAATCAAATGAGATAAGTATTTAGTGATATGATAAATATTAGC